ACGAAACTCCTTAACTCCTAGTAGCATTTTAACTAATAGTGTTTTACCAACTAAGGTAAAAGCAGTTCAGAAACTATATTAATACTGGACCATAATGTTGAATATAGCTAAAGATACATTAGTAGCTACACAAAAATAACAAGCAGCTTACGCAGACAGGAAAAGGCATTTTGTTGAATTTCAAGTAGGGGAAAGAGTAATGTTAAATGCAACAAATCTAATGCTACCAGAAAATATACAAAAACTATCAAGGAAACTCACCCCAAGATTCATTGGACCTTTTGAAATTGTTGAAAGAGTTTCCACTACAGCTTACAGCTTACTATTATCTAAACAATTAGAATTCATACTGTCTTTCATATTTTACTGCTAAAGCTTTACTATCCTAATGAATTCGAAGATAGAAACACTTCACTACCACCATCTATTTTAGTAGAAGTAAACCCAGAGTTAGAGTATAAAGTTGAATGCATTTTGAATAAATGAGTTTATTACTGCCAAATGCAGTATTTAGTAAAATGGAAGGGTTACCTGCTTTATGATGCTACTTGGGAACCTCTTGCATATCTTGTTAATTGCAAGTTATTAGTTGACGAATTTGAAAAAAAGAACAGGTTTGTCTTTAAGTAGAGGAGGTGTAAAAGATAGATTATCTCTTTGAAGATCTTAAAGCAAGCCACGTAAGACTCAAGACGAACTAAATGAATGTGATCTGTGTAATGAATATAGATCAGATAACATATGACCATGTGATCAGGAAGAACAGATCGGAGACGAATTCAATTCAGTATGCACATTAATTATATAGTTATCATCGAGTAGTTTATTAATTAATAGAGTGAAGCATTAAAAATGTAGTCATTGATAAAAGTAATAAGTATTGTATTAGTAATATACATTAGAAAAGTAATAGTATAAATAGGGTAAAAGGAAAAAAAAGTTAGTATTGCTTCTCTTGTACCCAATAAAGCACAGATATTTAAATAAATACTTCTCTTATTGCCACGAATCGACTTACTATTAATAAGTCATTTTACATAATCACTAATTGTTGTAGCTAAGCATAGTTTACTTAGAGCTAAGTATAAAGTGTAATCACTAATCATTAAGGTTAAGCACTAATTGTTAATCACTAAGTATAATTGCTAATCATTAATTGCTAAATGTAATCACTAATGTTAATCACTAAACATAATTGCTAATTGTTAATTACTATGCGTAATCACTAATTACTAATCATTAATAGTTAAGCATTAAGCATAATACATGTCTGTTAAATTCTACTCTAATAATAATAAATAATAAGATAATAAAATAATAAAATATAACTAATAATTATATAATACAAAATAATAAACTAATAAAATAATAAACTGTTCTATAATATTTTCATTACTTTATAAAAATTTGCTCTGCAAATTCTTAATTAAAAACTAATACTCTTTATTAGTAAACTTGACAATATGTGTTATAGTAAAGTATTGGGTCTGATATAACAATTCTTTAGGTCTAATGCTAAAGATTTATTGGAGTCGAGTAGCTTCTTTTCAAATATCTTGAGCCTTTCCAGAACCTTGAAAAGCTTGAAGAAGTTCATGAATTTGTTATTATTTGTTAGGTTGTTTCAGATAAGAATTTCTAAGTACAGATAAGCTTCAATAACCTTTATCTGTTTGGGTCGAGTTTGGCCTTTATCTTCTAATTGTTGAAAAATTTTGGTTAATTGATCTTTTCAAGTTCTACTAATAAAAGTATTGGGATAGTTATGTGATAAAGGGATAAGAGGTTAGATAAGTTCAAGATGAACTTTTTGGAAAATTTCTGTTTCTGGTTTTATTTTGAGAGGAGAATTGTCTAAAGTAGTGTTTATTTCTAGTTCTGTAACAGGTAGAGAATTGTTTAAAGTTTGGTCGATTTCTGGGTCTTCAATTAAAATATTATCCAAGAAAACTTTTATATTCATAGAGTTAGTTGGAGTAGTTACTATGGTGTTTACTAGAGAAGTAATATCACTAGTATTATTAAGATCATTAGGTTTTCACAAAAAGATATTGAAAGAACAAATTTCCAAATTGTTTTGGGCAGCAGGATCCTGTCTCCAAATAGTAAAGAAGTATTGGAGAGCTTGGATAGTTACAGGTTGTAGAGTGTTGTTGTGTATAGCTATTTATATATTGCATATAAATTAGAGAATTTCTGAATAAAGTGTCTATTTATAATTTTTAAAATTGTACGATTGTTTGTTTTACAAAATTTTGTCTTTGTTTCTCTCTGTTCAGTAAAATTTCTTTAAGAAATTAAGAATTTTCAATTATAACAATTGGTTCCTATATTTGTTTCTCATAGTACTTTGCTAGTCGATCACTATTATAATACTTTTGTAGCATTTTTTTATCCAATATTCATAGTCTATAAGCTCCATTATTTTGTTTCACTTAAATAATATAAGGTCTTTCTCTTTTGTCTTTGAATTTAGCTAATTTTGACTTTTCTAAAGCCTTTATTTATATTCAAACTTTTTCACCTATTTCAAATTCTTCTGGTTTGATTCTAGTATTAAGCTTTAAGAAAAAGCCATTTTAGCTCATATCTCCACAACCACTAGTCCAATTAAGATGAAACAACTACTATTTGAATCAGCTCATCAAAATGAATCTAAAGATAGTAAGATCATCCAAATTTAATTACAGGAAGCCGAGATTGAACCAAAAATATAATTTGATCAAATGTTCTATATATAAATCATATGTGGTACAATCTGATTGGCTGATGATCAACTACGCAAAATGCTATATATGTAGCATATCTATTACATGTCATTTTTATAGCATCTATATTATTTATTTTACATATTATATTTATATTATTTTTGTTATATATAGTATCTGTACTATATGTATTATATATTTTATTAATACTATTTGTAATATTTGTAGCACAGATACTAGATATAGACCATTATATTTCTAAAAAATTGTAAAGTATAAAAGCAGCCAATGTGGACCTTGAGTTCGATATTGTGTCTTCATATACTTTCAATAATAAAATACCTTTTGGAACCAAAATCCTAAATAGTTATTAATATCTTCATGTACTTTTAATTGTTGCCTTTTTCATAATTGCAAATTGCCTTAAATCTTCTTTGTTAAGTTTTGTAAAAATGCCATACTGACTTAGTTAAAATACAG